CTTATTTGCAGCATGAATTTGGAAAATAAGTTTATTTTGAATTTTAATAAACTAAACGTTCACCAAAAAACTTTAGTGAGAAAAATCGAAAAAACGAACTACAAACATATTAACGCCAAACATTCGGTAGAATTTATAGAATATTGTAAAAATCTATATAACGGTATATAACGCTATATAACTATATATAATCAATAACTCTCGGGGGAACCGGGTCTCTGAACGCTAAACGAAGATTGATTGATAGTTATTCATAATTATAATAATATTCATTATTATTATTATTATTATTATTATTGTTCAGAGACTGTATTAAGGGGCTAGGCGTGCTAAAGTTGAAAAAGGCATATGATATACTGGATAAGTTCAACACTGAATATGTCGAGGTTGTTAATAATTAATCGCTCACTCACTCAACCAATCAATCAATCAACCAATCAATCAACCAACAGACCAGTCAATCAACAAACCAATCAATCGCTCCAACAGGCCCATCTCATCTAAATCACTCACTCACTCAACCAATCAATCAACCAATCAATCAATCAACAAACCAATCACTCCAACAGACCCATCTTACCAACCTCCTCGGGCCAGTTGACTATGACATTTACGCCGGCAAGATTATGCAACTCAAGATATGCGAAGAATCTGCTTTCAGAATTAAATAATTATGATTGTTGTTATTATTATTTATAATTAATTATTATAGTTAATATTAATAATAATTATTATTAATTATTTTCATTAGTGTTATTATTATTACATTTACCTATATATATATATATATATATATATATATATATTTATAGATAATGTACTGCTATGTTATGTAATCGCACTGAGTTATGTAGTTAGTCAGTTATTCACTTATTTGTATTGCATATATATATATATATATATATATATATATATATATATATATATATATATATATATATATTTAGTAATGAATGGAGGAATGAATTGATGAATGAATGAATGAATTATGGAGTGAATGCCTAATTGAATGAATGAATGAATGAGTGAAAGATTGAATGACATAATTAGGCATTTGTTTTTGTTTTAATAAAACAGTAATACTTTTGTATAATGTAGATAGCGAATGAATGACTGAACAAATGAATGAATGAATGGATGAATGAATGAATGAATTAACGAATGAATTAACGAATGAATAATTAATTTGTTGAAAAGTTTAATTTTAATTAAGATTTGTATTTAATCTTTTAATTATGGTTTAGCGTGTGTGTGTGTGTGTGCGTGTGTGTGTGTGTGTGTGCGTGCGTGTGTGTGCGTGTAGTGTGGGTACCTACGTAAGATTTGCTTACATCATAATGTTTTAGTGGTTGAATTGAAATCATTTTGATCATTTTTTTAATGAGATGAAATAAATTAACTTGAAATTTTTTTTCAAAAGCCTGACGTAAATTGTGATACAAATTGAGGGAATAATCGAAATTTGATTCAAAGTATTCATCGGCATTAATATAGACAACTTGTTCAGAGCAATAGGATGAATGAACGAACGAACGAATGAATGAATGAACGAATGAATGAATGAATGATTGAATGAAACAGTGAATCAAAGAGTGAATGAATGATTGAATGTTGTGTTTATGAAATCTGAATAAAGCGTTAACTTAATATATAAACAAAAACATTATCGAATTGTTTACTGTATTGCTAATGTGGATAATCAGCTAATAAGCTTCAGAAATATAACCTCGATAATAATAAATAATAATACTTTCATTCATCCTTTGCGATGTCTTTTCCCTCTCAATCCATCCACTAATTACGGGGAAAGGTTTTTAAAATTTCAGGATCACTCCAGCGACCTTGGGGATAGTATTTTACACCATCATTTTCTCATCGTCACTTGGTTAGCTGAGTTTTTTTTCAAAAACACACAGACAAGAAAGTTCACGTACACACACACACACACACACACCCCTTTCTCTCTCTCTCTCTTTCTTTCTCACACACACTACACGTCACACACACACTATACACCACTGTTACTGCATACACGAAAATGAAAAAGACGACTTTTTCATTGCGAGGGAATATGGCAAAAAGTTTTGTACTGCAATTTGTGGCTCGAAATCCAAGGAACGGTGCGCTGAAATGAAATTTTTTAGTATATATTCCTTGAAATAATGTTGTTTATATGTAAGTGTGTGTGTGTGTGTGTGAATGTGTGTGTGTTGAAACAAGTTGTCAGTTTTATATAGTTTGCCTAAGCCATGGCTGTGTCAACCTTTATAAGTTTAAAAAAATGCAAAGTACGAATAGTAAAATTTTACATATTTTGTTTTATCAACATTATTAATTTATTTAATTATAAATATCTATTAACACACACAAACATACAAACGAACACGTCTAATAATGAGTGTTAATAGTGCAGAAATAAACTCTTTCAAAAATATGATAAAGCGAATCTAAAAAATATATAAACGAAATTATCACAAAAGTTGATAGAATGTTCTAGAAGAAGAGAGAAATATATAAAAACTTAATCATTCAATCCATCAATAAGCTAACTTATCAATCAATCAGTCAGTCAGTCAGACAATCACATTCCTAAATCAAGTTTTTCGATTTTCATAAAACAATCGCTGTCATCTTCGTTACGAGTACTGTTTTTAAAATAATTTCCATCACCTTGCCCATCCCTAGTTTTAACGATGACGTCAGTGCCTGTCGAATTCGCCATTTCTTTCGTAATAACTCTGTCTCTATTTGCTGCGGGGTTACTCCTTACGACGTTTCCGAAAGGTTCTTTCGTCTGGTGGTTAAAATTTTTTAAATTCTGTACGCGCTGTTGAAGTTGCTGTTTCGAAACCGTGGTTGTTACTGACTTAGCAGGAAATTTTCTAATTGAAATAGGATTGATATTGATATTATCCGAGGTTTTTTTGGGTATCTTCTGACAGTTATTACCACATTTCGAACTCTTTACATCAGCCTGATTCACTGCTACTGCTGCTGCTGTTAAAACAATCTTCCTATTTTTTGCAGAACATGGCTTCACCAGTTTTGACGATGATGATAGTGATTGTCGAGATGATGACGATGATGTTGTTGGCCGTGATGATGATGTTGGCCGTGATGATGATGTTGGCCGTGATGATGATGATGGTTTTAACTGCGATGATGATGATGATGATGATACTGACATTATGGGCCTGACTGTGACCGCACCCAGACATATATCGCTATAATCATTCTCTTTACTCTAGAAAAGGTTTCAAGTATATGCGTGTTATGTTGTGTGTGTGTATTGTGTGTGCGCGTGTGTATTGTGTGTGTGTACGTGTTAAATTTGAAATTTGGGGAATGTTGAGAAAAAAACAAAGGCGATTTTTAACGTTTTAAATACGTTCTCGTTAACAAGAGAGTAATTGCTTTAACGTTTAGACGGCGGTATTGATAATAGTAGTAGTAGTAATAATAATAATAATAATAACAACTATAATTAGTACTATAATAATAATTTATTATTATGATAGTCGTAATTATAATTATAAAACCTTTTTGTATTGGAGCATGGCTTCTTTGAATAGAGAGAAATCAGAGAAAGATGAGAGGATCTCAAACACCTCGCAATAGTCCAAATCCGTTTCTTTCACTCTGAAAAAATTTAAAACTTATAAAAATAATAATAATAAAGAATAATAATGATAATAAATAATAATAATAACACTCACTCGTTGAGAAACTCTCCCATTGAGAAATCTGGGATCAGTTGAGTTAGTTTCTGCGTCAGGTAAGTTTCGATGATCGTCGTCTGCGATTATTATTATTATTATTAGTTGTAGTAGTAGTAGTAGTGGTAGTAGTGGTGGTGGTGATAGTAGTGTGATTAGTGTTTAAGTTCTGTTAGTTTGTCAAATTTGTAATAATGCATAATGAAACGCGACATAAATCAATCGATCGATCAACTATATTAACGTGAATCAACAACAAACAACAAACAACAACAACAATAAAAATAATAATGATAAATAATAATAATAAACAGACGAACATATTCCCTATGTATATCGGAGTACACGAATTTATTCTCATCTACATCCTCAAATTCGTGGTGATATCTCTCCATGAAATTATTTTGCAGCCCCTGAAACTCATCTCCTAATTATAAAATAATAATAATTGATATTATTATACATATATTATTTATATTATAAAATAATAATAATTATTATTATTTTTATTATTAATATTGGTATTAAATTTTATTTAACATTTTAACCCATTATGATGTCTTCAATATGGCCAATGGTTGAGTCAAATTTCTTATACTCGTCATCACAGCTAATTTTGAAATAATTATAATAAATATAATAATTAAAAAGAGAATAACAAATAATAGTCGTTACTCTTCTATATCAAAGACTTCCTCGCCTTCGTTCTCTTCTTCACAGTCCATAAACTCTACAGGTTCTGACAATAATTAATTGATTAACTAATTATTAATGAATAAATAATTATAAATTATTGAAAAAATGAATAATTTATATAGTTAATTTATTTGTATTTAATTGCACAACCTGCCATTATCTATCTGTCCTCCTGCTAAATTCAATTCAAAGTTAGCAATTTTTTTTATTTCATAACGAAACACGCCTTATATAAAAAATGCAAATAATATTGTTAATTATATATTAATAAATTACAATTATTAAATTTTAGTATCATATGTAATTTTTTTAAATAGAATTTATTTCAGAATTTAAAGAAAGAACGAAACAAGAAATTTAAGATTGTTGAGCTTCATTAGTAACCCTGGTTGCTAAGAAGATTGAATTAGCATTAAAATCGTTAAATTTGGAAGAAAGTAAACAATTTAATGAATTTTTTCAATAATTCAATTAATTCTTCTCATATTTTGTTAACATATTGAGGTATATAGCAAGTGGAATAGTTCATTTTCCACTCGTTAATAAACCCAAGAAAGTAAATTTTTAAACCTTCGATTGTAAATGTGTTTTATTTATCTATGAGTAAACAAACCATATTTATTTTATATACTTTATTTTCGCTCAACTAACTAAAGATTTCTTTATGCTTAAATAGAAAATACGTTAATTTTATTAAAATTTGTTATTAGTAAATAATTGAGTTATGGCTGATTATTGGAAAAGTCAACCTAGGAAGTTCTGTGAACTATGCAAGTGCTGGATGGCTGACAACAAACCAGTTAGTTTTATTTATTTTACTTTTAGTTTTATTTTATCTTTATGAAAATTTCTTGATCTTTTTATAATGCTAATTTCTAAAGATTCTACTCTAATTTATCAATTAGTTCGCTCAAACAACCACACTAATTCACAAATTTTCATATTATTTTTAACTTGGCAGAGTCGAGATTTTCATGAAAGAGGAAAGCGACATCAAGAAAGTGTCAAAAGAAAACTAGATGAGGTAAATGTAAATTGTAATTTTACCCTTTGTTGATTTTTTTATTTATTTTTACATGTTATTTTAAAATAGCTAAAGAAGAAAGGAGTCCAGGATGCAAAGAAGGAAAGAGAATGTAACAAATACCTCATGCAGATGGAGAGGGTCAGTATGTTATATGTAATGTATAATATAGTTTATGTATGTATGTATGTATATGTATGTTTGTATGTATGTATGTTGGTTTTTATGTATGTATGTGTTAAAACCAAATCATTGACGAATGACACCAAAAGCCAAGCGTCTGACTAAATTTGATTTTATTTGCTATAAATTTGATTTTTATTTGCTGATTTTATATGCTGTATGTATGTATGTGTTTGCATGAATAAAATTTAAAGGGAGCAATGAAAAAGTATGAACAAGACATCCTAAATGACCCAACGTTAGCAGCAAGATATGAAGAAAAACGTGAGTGAATTTGGTTATTTTTGTTTTTTTATTGTTCTATCTTGCTCGTTTAATTACTGAATTAGTGAATTTTTAATGTTTAAAAGTGAAGCAGATTGCAAAGGAGGAAGAGGAGCAAGAGCAAGAAAAATCACAAATATCTCAGTTCATTTTGGACAAGTTGAAGACAAAAAATCTGCCCATCCCTGTCCAGACCGAGGAAATTAGTGAAGAAAAATTAATAGTATGCTATTTGTTTCTATTGTATTTTTTTTATTTGATTTTTTGCTTGGTTCGTTTAATACAAATTTTCTTCTTTGATTTATTCATAATGACAACAATAAAAGTAATAATAATTTAGGAGCAGCTAAAGCAGCAGCAGCAAAGCAGCAGCAGCAGCAAATACTCAGATGACTGGCAAGAAGCATTTTCAGAGGAGGGCCACGTTTATTATTGGAATACCAAAACACACGGTGCCATTGCTGTCAATAACGTCATTGTTGTTGCTGTTGTTGTTGTTGTTGCTGTTGTGTTGATGGTGATGTTAAGACTGATGTTTGTTTTGTTGTTTTGTGCTGATGTTGTTGTTGTGGTCATAATTATTGTTGTTATAATTATTTTTTGTAGAATCGTCGTGGTATCTGCCAGGAAGTGATGAATACAAAGCCTACATGCAGCATATAACAATGCTGCAACAACACCATCATCCAATCCCAACAACAACAACGACAACATCGACTGCTTCTCTAGCTGCTGCTGCTGCTAATGATGATAATGATGGAGAAGATGGTGATGATGATGATGATGGTGGTGCTGATGATAATGATGTTGGTTCTGCCTCCTCTACATCATCTTCTAAAGATGCTAAACGTAACGTAAGCAGGCATTGACTCTCTCATATTTATATTATTAATTATTATATAAATAATATATATTATGCCAATTATTATGGTCATAATTATTAATAATTATAATAGTATTTTTAATTTTCATTGCAGACGTCATGTTCTTCAGCGACAACATCCTTAATAAAAATTTCCTATAAAAACCACTCCAGCATCTATGGTGCCTGGAAAGAAGTTAAAAAAACAGAGTCAGTTAAGTTTTTGTATGTACGTATGGTATGTTTGTTTGTATGCATGTATGGTATGTTTGTTTGTTTGTATGTACGTATGGTATGTTTGTTTGTTTGTATGCACGTATGGTATGTTTGTTTGTTTGTATGTATGAACGTATGGTGTGTTTGTTTGTATGTTTGTTTGTATGTACGTATGGTATGTTTGATTGTATGGATGTTTGTATGTATGTCAGTATGCATATGTTTTTGTTTTGTGTTTGTAGCTAGTTTTAATTGATTTTTTTGCATGATAAATAAGTTGAAATAATATTTCTGGTGATAATAATATATATATATAAACCCAGACCTGCTGATACCCCATCCGTCGACCTTCAACTTCCGGCATCGAGGGCCAACGAATACAAAACGATCGTCGTCCCCAGCCTAACCAAAGAACCGAAACTAACGATTAGGGAGAGAACACTGGCCACTGTTAATAGCAAAACGAAGAGCTCAGCAGAGCCTGTGGTCTTTAAGAAAAGGAGATTTAACAATATCGTTAAAGTTAAAGTAGAAAATGATGATGATGATGATCGTTGTAATAATAATAATAATAATAATAATAATAATAATAATAATAATAATAATAATAATAATAATAATAATAATAATGGTGATGATGATGGTGATGTGCGACCTGCCAAGATGAGGAACATTAGAAGGGCTCGTAATGATGACGATGATTAGTGCACTTATGATGATGGTGATGATGGTGGTTCAGATGTATTAGTGGTTTTTGTTTTTGTAAAAGTTATTTCAGAATGCTCTCAGTTGTAGTAGGATTTGTATATTTTATTCAGTTTTATAAGTACTGAAGTTCTACATTTCTTCATTTAATTTCAAAATTCTTTTTCGAAATTGTGGGAAAAATTGAATAGATGAATAAAATGTTTAAATTGAATTGTGTCTCTGTCAATCTTTTGCCCGTATTCATTTCAAAATTTCGAGTCTTAGCATTCGTCAATAACCTCTATGAAAGAAACACACATTCGCGCGCACACACACACATTCACGCACACACACATTCACGTACACACATACCTTCCATCTCATCCCATCATTACGGCCCAGCGTGGTTCACTTGGAAAGTGTTTGTTTTCAGTTCTTTTTATTTATTCTGCTCTTTTTAATTACTTTAATGATTGCTGGAGACGTGCGTGTGTCTGTGTGCGTGCGCGTGTGTGTGTGTGTTTGTGTTTTTACGTACGTGTATGTATGGGTCTATGTGTGTATGAATATTTTTACTAGTTTTGTATGTTATTAGGTATGTGCGTCTATGTATGCATGAGTATGAATATTTGTACATATGCGATATTTGTGTGTATGTGTATTTTTCTACATGTGTTTGTGTGTGTGTTTTCACATCAAAGGGTATGTGATGTGATGATGACTTAAGAAAGGGGGGTGGATAATTGAATGGAGATGGTGAAGAATTAGAGAAGATGAACGTCAGTTTTTGTTACCGGGTGGTCTTTTGAGTGTTCATCATTCAATCATTCATTCATCCATTCAATCGATCAATCATTCATTCAATCAATCATTCATTCAATCAATCATTCGATTGTAGGATTATTATTGATATTTGCATAACGTTGGTCAACCATAAATTAACGCATTCTTTGAAAGGGTGTCACAACACACACATGACCTCAATACACACACACATACACATACATGACCTCAATACACACACACTCACACACGCATATGCATACACACATAAATGAATACACGTGCACACACACACAAACAAACACACTTACACACACATACAAATCTCTTATTCAATAAAATATAATCACAAACACATGTCTTAGTGGATGTAGTGGATGTGTGTATATATATGTATGTGTGTATGTGAGATATATGTATGTGTGTATTGGAATATCTTATACTGGATCAATACACACATACGCGTATTGTATTTCAAAGTGTTGTAATAATAATAGCCCTCTTTAAACAAACATTACGCTATGTTGTGTGTGTGTGTTTGTGTGTGTGTGTGTGTGTGTGTGTGAGTCTGTTGTTGGTGATGTTGTTGTTCATTTATTAGGCAATTTGTTGTTTGCAGTTTGTTGTTGTTCCGACAACACATATCCATGCATTCCTACCTAAAGATCTGTAATTTAAAATTGATGATAGACTGTTTGTTTTGCTGTTGTTGTTGTTGTTGTTGTTGATGTTATTGTCGTTGTTGATGTTGTTGTTGATGATGTTGATGTTGTTGCTAATGCTATGATTTTGTTTTGTTGCTATGCGGTAGTGTTATTGCGAAATGAGATATATTAATTCTAGTGCAACAACAACAACTACTACCACTACTACTACTACTACTACTACCACCACCACCACAGTCACCAAAAAACGATATACAGGTCACGTGACGTAAAGGTTAAAGTTCAACTGAACAAATTAATCAATGTAATGGTCAGTTAAAAAAAAACAACAGCTGAAGTGGTTTTGTCGCCGGGAGAGAAATTTCTTTTTGAAGCAGTTTTTAAAAGAAGTCTAGCGGTCCTCTGGATCCAACTGTCATTAAGCGAAAATCGTTTGAAAATAATTATTTAAAAAAAAAAAGTTAAAAAAATTTCATGAAAAGTAGATTCAAAAGACACGGAAAGAAAGAGAGGAAGAGAGAAATAGAGAAAAAGTGAGAGAAAGAAAGAGAGTGTGTGAACGAGAGAGTTAGCAGGAGTGTGACACACGACGTTCTGAGGGAGGAGCGTCGGGCACAGCGACGTTGTTTGTGTGTAGTGCGTGTGTATCATTGATACCATCCATCCAGGCCAATTGAATTCATTCACACCTGTTCTGTCTGTCCTGTATGTTTGTGTGTCTGAGTGTGTGCGTGCGTGTGCATATCTGCGTGTGTGTGTGTAGATAGTATATGTATGTATGTATGTGTGTGTGTGTGTGTGTGTGTGTGTGTGTGTGTGTGTGTGTGTGTGTGTGTGTGTGTGTAGATGTATGTGTGTGTGTTTTTACGTGTATAGTTCACTATACATATATATAGATAGATTTATGTATGTGTGGGTGTTAAATTTTTTTCCTTTTTAAATTTTATTTGCTTCTCAAATACATACATACTTACACATACATACAAACAAACTTAAGTACATAGACACGCACATACTTACGCGCATACATTTATACACACACACAGACATACACACACAGACATACACACACACAGGCACACACACACAGACATACACACACAGACATACACACACACAGGCACACACACACAGACATACACACACACACACAAATGTGACATCGTGATTTATTAACACGATATATGCCTGTACGTACCATCATAAATGACGTACAAAAAGCAGAACGCTACAGAAAAAAATAATAATAATGCGAATAAGAACATTATATTAATAAAAATAATAATAATAAAAACAACAATAATAATAATAATAACAACAACAACAACAATAATAATAATAATAACCATTAACAACAGTAATAAAATGCCAACGACATTTTAATGGGAAAGTTTTTTTATAAAAAAAAAGGCAAGGAAACAAAAAAGTCAACTACCTCAAACATCGCCATCCTCATCGGGTACGTCATCCTCACCGGTGACGTCACGTCACCATCATCGTTATCATCATCTTCTTTATCACCACCGTCAGCTGCAGCAACAACAACATCAGCGCCAGCAACAGCAGCCACAGCATCAACAACAGACAGCCACAGAATAATAATACCATCAAGAATACTTATTTATTTTAAACGCCTTAGGGCAAGCCGAGAAGAAAATGTCGACACTGTTTAAAAAACAGCAACAAGACATTAAGATCACAGTTGTTGTTGTTGGTGGTGGTGGTGATGACGATGATGTTGTTGTTGATGATGATGATGTTGTTTCATACATACAGACATATATTAAACACAGTCATACATTATTATAGAGATACGTGTGTCACTTTGTTATCAGCTTGTTTGTGTGCCGACTGTTTCAGAGACATTGTATTGTATCATTTTTGTATTGTATTGTATTATTTTTGTATTGTATTGTATTTGTATTTTCATTCGAATGTATTAGTATATGTTTGTATGTTTGTATACATGCATTTAATTTCGCTTATTTATAACAAATGCTAATATCACTATTTCTATTTGTTTAATACTTCTACAATTATTGCCGCTACAACTACTTGTTCTTGTACTGCTGCTACTTCTACTACTTCTACTACTACAACTACTACTACAACTACTACTACAACTACTACTATTACCACAATTACTACTACTTCAACTTTGATTTACTTATAATTTCAGAAATTTGTTGAATCGTGCCAGCAGTAAAAATTTACTCGAACGCATTTTAGTGTCAGAGATTAATTTTAGTAAATTGAATGTTGCGTCATGTTTTTGTTGATAAGTGTGTATGTGAGCGTGTATGTGTGTGTATGTGTGTGTATATGTGTGTGTATGTATGTTTCTATGTGTTTATATTTGTTTATACTTGTATGTGTGTGTGTTGTGTGTGTGTGTGTGTAATGTATTTTTCACTTGTTTATACAGCAGGTAAGAACTCAATATAGATTCTAGTTTTTAGTGTTATTAAACCATGGCAATATTCACACTAGGAGTGAGCATGGCTCCCATGGGATTCTCACGGAAATTGGTAAAACTTAATTTTCGGGAATGTTGTCATAACTGGGAATTCGTGAGGGAATTGGGAATGAGGAAGAAAATGGTAGAGGAATTGGGGACAAATTTCAACCCTCGCTTACCTCTAATTTACACATAGATACACGCTCAAAAATAAGCAACCACACACACGCACACACACACCACACACACACACACACACATATATTTATATATATATATATATATAATCAATCACAAATTCAAATGCACGCGTTCATCTCAATATATACGCCCATACATGCACTTGTTATGTATGTATGTATGTATGTATGTATGTATGCATGGATGTATGTATGTATGTATGGATGTATGTATGTATGTATGCATGTATGCATGTATGTATGTATGTATGTATGTATGTATGTATGTATGTATGTATGTATGTATGTATGTATGTATGTATGTATGTATGTATGTATGTATGTATGTATGTATTGGTGTATATATATATAGCTTTTCTCATTCTTTCGCATCCTAATCTTCACACTTTAACATCACTCATAAAATTGTTTGAAGTAACAATGTCGAAGCAATATAATCGATACATACGCCAACAACAAAAATATCCACAACAGCTGCAGCAGATACAACGACAACAACAACAACTGTACATATGTCGAGAAATGTTATTACACCAACTACAACAACGTTGTTCCAACGAACAACGAGATCTTCATCAACATCTATATCAACAACAACATCAGCATCTGCAACAACAACATCCTCCTCCTCCTCATCAACAACAACAACAACTTGTTCAACATTTTCACAACAGAAAAATTTTTTACGGCAGAACTCAACGCATCCATGACACCACCAACACCAACAACAACAACAACCACAACAACAATAATAATAATAAAAGCAATAGTAACAACAACAACATCAACAGCAGCAACCAAAAACGAAAGATAAAAAAATGTAAACTAACGATAGCCAAGCAAATTAGACAAATGTCAACTCTCCAATTCCATGGACAAAGATCAATCAGTCAAGAAAAACTTTCGAAATCCTCCAAAGAAAATAAACATAGAACTTTATTCAAGTTTATTAGCGATAATATAAACAACGATTTATACATAACAAATAATGGAAAGTCAGTTTTCAAGCTGTACACCGACTTGCTAGGACCGAGTCCGACTGAATCGGTATCAAACGGTAATATCGAGACGAATAGTTGCGATGTCGATAACTGCAACAACGACTACAACAACAACATTAACAAGAACAATATCCGCAACAGCAACAACAATATCCGCAACAGCAACAACAATATCCGCAACAGCAACAACAACATTAACAACAGCAACAACAACATTAACAGCAACAACAACAACATTAACAACAGCAACAACATCAACAACATTAACAACATCAACAACAACAACGACAACAACAATATTAACAACAACAACAACATCATCAACAAAGACGACGACGTCATAATATCAAATAATCAGGCAACAATTAACGCCAAAAAATTTTTCACCAACTCTTTCGAAACATCCTTGTGGGAAAGTTATGATAATGATGATGATAAAAGAGATGATGATAATGACGATTACAACAATAACAACATCAACAACAGCATCAACAACAACAACATCAACAACATCAGCATCATCGTAGCGAAACAACACCAAAAAACAGAGCTTAATTTTTCCGCTAACTTCAGCAAAAACTACAACAACAGCAATAAAAATGGTAATAATAATAACAACAACAACGACAACGACAATAATAATAATAATAATAGCTACTCATCATCACCAAATCAACCTCAGTATCAGCCTCATGATGAGTTCGTGCTACACAGTACTTTCTGTTATCCCCTGCACAGTACACTCTTAAGCCAAATTGATGAAAACGAAGATTGTGCTGAAGTTGATGATCGAAATCACCACCACCAAAGTCATCGTCCTCAAAATTATCACCACCACAACCACCAGCAGCAGCAGCAGAAGCAGCAGCAGCGTCATCAACGCTCAAGCGATAGCAATACATTATTAGAAGCAAAATCGAACTATCCGAATCGATCGGAAGAATCGAGTATTAATACATACCTCGTAACTCCGTTGAAAACTTCCAACTCGATTAACCAGCAACAAACTAAAACCGATACGAATAACAACGAATGGAGTAACTATACCAATACCGATACGAATAACAACGAATGTAGTAACTATACCGATATCGATACGAATATTGAAAGCAACGAATGTGTAAAAAGTATATCTCATCGGAACTCTGCTAATCAATCGAGCCATAAAAATCGACACATCTCTAAATACATACCGTGTTTTTTTTCTATTAGGAAAATGGCGAGAAAGAGTTGACGAAATGATGACGAAAAAACCATCGTCAGCAACAACAATAACAACAACAACAAAACAACAACAATAGTAACATCAACAAAACAACAACAACAGCCAAATAAATAAAGACATCGGTAAAAGCAACAAATAAGATTTCAAAAACAATGTAAATTGTGTATGTATGTAAGTATGTAAGTATGTATGTATGTATGTATGTATGTATGTATGTATGTATGTATGTATGTATGTATACATGTATGTATGTATGTATGTATACATGTATGTATGTATACATGTATGTATGTATGTATGTATGTATGTATGTATGTATGTATGTATGTATGTATGTATGTATGTATGTATGTATGTATGTATGTATGTATGTATGTATGCAATTTTCCCATAAGATTCAATAATTAAGAAGTTAAAAAGGTTTTAAATGACTTTCTTTAATAAAAAAATCTGTCAATAAATAACTAAATCGATCAATTATTATTATCATTATAACTATAATTTATTATTAACGTTATAATTAATATTATCAATATATATAAACATATACATACATACATATATATATATATATATATATATACATACTTATAATTACTTATTTACATTATATATATATATATATAAATACATAATATATATATATAAATATATATATATATATATATATATATTAAGTACATGTAAACTGAGATCAAATAAGAAATTAACCAAAATAACTTAAAAACAAGAAACTGGCCTCCATTCGATGACTGTGAAGAATAAATCAGTGAGTGACACTCGTCTATTAATCAATTAATAAATAAATATAATAATAAAAATAATAATATTATTATTATTATTTTAATTATTATTATTGTTATTGACTTATAATTTCGTTAAATGAAAGCGTTCTAACACCCGTTAATGTACATGGAAGGAAAGAAATTATTTCAGAAATAGAAGTGGAAAGCAATTTAGATAATTTATTCATAATAAATTAATATATATATATATATATATATATGTAATTATATATATATATATATATATATACATATATATATATATATATATATACACGCCTGCATGTATTTTCATGGACATTACTTAATTACCTTAACTAATTGAATAATTTATTAATTAATTGTGCGTCTGATTACTAATACTAATAATAAAAATAACAACAAAAATAATAAAAATAAAATAAACAATAATAATAACAAGGAAAAGCAAAAATTATTTTTTTTTGTATAACATACTCGCGAATGAGTCTAGCTTAATTAACATAGTACTTATCGACAGACAACATCACGCATAATTATGTTAATATTATAAATAATTATTATTTTATATTTAATTATCTTATAAATAATGACCTTATTAATATTATTATTATTGTTGTTGCTGTTGTGGGCTACTATCGTTAACATTAACAATTATAGCTAGGCACTAATTAACGATATGACAGATATGTGAAGGAATAATAATAATTAATAATAATTATTAAATAATAGTAATTAATAATAATTATTAAATAATAATAATAATATGAAAAATAATAATAACAGTGATTAACATCCTATACTCATAAGCAGTTTCAATTTCCTACAAAGTTTATAAATTGTCCTGAAAGTGATTTAACTAATTGAAAGAAACTATTCGTTTGAAAGGTACCAAAATTTAGCGAAAAGGTACCAAAATTTAGTGAAAAGGTTCTAAAAGTGGTAGCTTGTTATGTCCTTAACAAATTTCAATGCCATTTAAGACTGGCAAAAAATTTTTTTTATTAACGATGACAAATAAAACTCAGCCAACAAAATAACATCAACAAGATACAAGAACAGCATCAACATTAACAACTGTAATGCACTTTGAGTCGTAACAACAACAATAACAACAGCAACAATAACAACAACAACATAAACAATAACAGCAACATAAACAAAACAAAAAAATTACCAAAAGATGGCTGACTTGAATGAGACTACGTTGACTAATGAAAATAATCATAAAATTAATAGCATGATAATAATTATTATTATCAGAGCCAAGCAATATTTTGAGTCAGAAATTGAGCCTGCGTCTAAGTTTTAAACGAACGAATTAACGAACAAACGAACAAATGAATGAATGAAATAACGAACGAACGAACAAATGAATGAATAAATGAATGAACGAACAAACGAATGAATGAATGAAAGATTGAATAAAGGAATGAATAAACAAAACGAATTTTCAAAATTATCCTCAAGCCAGTTAATTACAAGTAATGTTTAGCTCGTGCTTGGAGCTATACGGATAGATAGATTGAATTGTATAGTTGAAAAAAGCAGCAATTGAAGCCAGAATAAGCAAAAAATGGAATTTAGTAAATAAAATTCACCAAGATTCATGAAATTTCGTTTAAAAAACCAGCGAAAAAAGAATTTTGAAAAGAATTCTCTTCTAAAAAATATTTACAAGACTATCCAACACCCAGTCATCTATCGCAAGTAAGTATGGAAAAATAAATTTTTTTTCTTTGGACCATCTGCCTATGGAATGATGAAAATTTGAATGTTAATAATGGAAGAAGGAATGTAAAAATGTAAAAGAATCATTAATAATTACCTATCTATACATCTTATAAATAAATATATATAAATATATATATATAATTTTTCCAACTATATATAGTTTAAATAATAATACTAGAATTCGCTGATCAATGGCTTAAAATCATTAAGTAACGTGATGTAAAAAAAAGTTGGACTTTAAGATCTGAAAGAGATCTTACACATAAAGACAGACACGCATGAACAAATAGATTCATACAATACTAAGTGTACCATTTAAACACACACACACACACACCATACACAAACACACACACAAACAAACACACACACTTGCACACACACACACACACACACACAGATGTAATATACGAATGTACACACATAATTATCGAAATCATGTTGTAAGGTATTATTCAAATTTATACACTATATGTAAAATAATGATAATAATTATTATTATAATTATAAGGTTTGCATTTGTATGTACATATATAAATTCATCAATATATACAAAAAATTATATCATTGAAGAGAGAGAATGTAAAAGAAAAAGAGAGAAAGAAAGAGAGAGAGAGAAAACGAGAGCAAATGAGAGTAATTCTTGTTAAAGATCTTCAAAACTGCTTGATGATGATGAGGAGTTAGAGGGCAAGACCTGGCGAAAATTAATTAATGAATTATGTTAATTACCCGCCTTTTTATGAGTACTTAACATTTCCATTATACCCCAATCAATATTCATTAATTCATTCACGACTTCATCCTTCATTCATTCATTCACACATCCAACAATTCACTCGCACACCCATCCATCCATCCATCAATTGAGCAATGCACCGACCCCAGCCAGTCTATCAGAGGATCTCTTGACGTGCATCTTCATCCTACGAACGATGCACTCCTTATCTGAGAGGCCGTCAGAGATGCACCTGGACAGCTCCTGCTGCAAATTTTCAGTACTGCCGGACGAGATGTGTTGGTGTCGCTGCTTCAGTGACGACGTGTCGTCGTCCTCGTCCCACTCCGAGCTGGTGTACAGCGAGGTTCGTCTGTTGTGCGTCGTTGTTATCATGTCAATATCATTTTGTTTGTTTAGAGGCTCTTTGGATTTGAACTATAGAGATATAAATTACGACAACAGCCTACCTAGTAACGTCTTCAGATTCATCGATGCTTTTCTTGGAACCGCCAACGTTATCCTCATCTTCCTCTTCCTCCTTTGCAGCTGCTTTCTCACCACCACCACCACCACCGGCAGCAACTTCATCAGCAACATCCTCATCAGCATCTTTGGAACCTGCCCCGACAATATTTGAACTCCTTTTAGGCGAGGAGCAAACCAGAGGACTTGACCCCATGGACAACTGGCCCATTGAACTCTTGGGTGAGAGTTCAGTGCTACCCACACTACTCTCCACTTCAACTCGTACATTTTGCAAGGAGGATGATGAACTGACAACCAGTCCTAGACTCCCCCGTCTGCCTAATTTAGGTCGGTAGATTGCAGGCTTCACTGTGGAACTGTTGAATTGCGATGGTGTTTGTTTGCCTGCTGTCCCATCATCGTCGTCGTTGTCCTTACTCGTTTCTGTTGCGAGTTGCTTCGCTGATGTTGGTGCATCCGCTGCAGCTCTCTCACTACCTTCTGCCTCTTCTCCGATCTTACTAGGAGAAACGAGATGAACATTCTTCGTGCTGGAATCGGCAGAGGCATCGATTTTCTTGCTATCGTCATAAGCTTTCTCGATAGGAGACTTATTGAGAAAAGTTTTTCTCGAAAGGAGTCCGCTGAAACTCGAAGACATAAAGGTTGATAAGGAGGAGGAGGTCACTGGCGAATGAAATTTCCTATCCTTCGGCGAGTTCCTCAAACTGCGACATTTTTGAGGAGGTGGTGGTGTGGAAGATTTTTTCTCGTCTGAATTTTTGTTTCCATCAGACGCCTCTTTGCCTTCGTTGTTAGATTTGTGATCTTTTTTTAAAAACTGCCTAGCAGCATTATGACCTGAGATTGATTTTGTGGAATCACGTGATTTCGACCTGAACTGATGCTGTTGTTGTTGTTTGGTGTAAAGACTGCTTTGTAGAGACTGCTGATGCACTGATGCATCGGCATTCTTTAACAACTCTTTGTTACTGACTCTCTTTTCATTAATATCTCCCTCCTCCTCTTCCTCGTTCTCTCTCTCGTGAGACCGTCTATTCTTCGACCTGTGTTTCATTTTTATTTGGTCTGGGAATGTTTTCAAGAGATGAGCTCTACCTTTAGATGATGTGGCGGTGGACTCGAACGTCGGCTGGGGACACGGGGGATAGCTGCTACTTGCAGCCGCTTCTGACGACTGAGAGATGGATGGAATGTCGTTGCTGCTGTCCCTGATGCTGTTGTCGTTCTTTGAAATGTTGCAGTTGGGAGAAGAAAGAGTGTTGGAGTTAGAGGCAGTGGGCACTGTTTGCTGGTCGTCGGCATCTACAATTGTGTAGGACTGGCTCTGCCTGGTTTTTTTTTCAAACTAATCAACAAAGCGTCTTTATGATTTTGAATGACTTTTAAAATATTTTACAAAATAAATTAATGATAATAATTAGATGATTAAATGATTGAGAGACAGGCTGATTGATTGATTGATTGATTGGTTGATTGATAGACTGACTAACCCCTGTTTAAAATGTTGTAATAACACCTGCCTTGGATATCTTTTGTATGGCGAAGACGAAGATTTCTTACTAGGTGAAAATCCGAAAAGTTGTGAACTACCATGTTGTTGTTTGTTGTTGTCTTTCACTTTATTGCCGTCGTAAATATCGTTGTCGTTGTTGTTCGCTGAGTTTTGCCGTGAGTAGTAGTTGTTGTCGTGATGGCGTAGTGGCGAGTTGTAGCTGCTGCTGCTGTTGTTGTGGCTGCTGGGACCGATAGCTGCTTGCTGCTGCTTCAAACGCCGCTGAAACTGACGAACTGCTGCCTCTCGTCTAATGATGATGATGATGATGATGATGATGATGGGGAAGATGAAAACACTGATAACTAAGAAAAATAGAACAGTAAAGACGACACCGAAGACAACTCCCCTCACTTTGCCAGCTCTTTCTCTCTCTTTTCTAGTTGCAGCATGCAGGCTGTTAGCTCCATGTACATGTTGTTCGCTCGGTCCAACTTCTGCTCGTACAACTCTCTGACGTCCTGGGCATGCCTTATTAAGTAATTTATTCAATTTGTGATATCGGTCAACTTTTAAAATAAAAACAACCGGACAGTTATTTGGCAAAAAGTGTATCAGGTCGGTTGAAACTAGGTCACGTCAAAAAAAAAATGATGTGACGGCATGAAAATTGAGTGCCAGTCACTCGGCCACCTGAGCTCTTCTCTCCTCCTTCGGATGAGTTCCTCCTCGATGAGTGGGTAGGTCGACGTCTCGCTCCGAATCTTCTGCAGTTCCTCGCGGATCTCGTTGCGCCAGTGCTCCTAAGTCGTGGCATTTTTCGTTGTGTGACAGATGTGGCAATTTTCACATGACAAAATAATATGGCGATAACCACCAATGATGAAAAAGTGCTGAATAAGATGTACGTGTGTGTGTGTGTGCGCGCGTGTGCGTGTGATGAAATGATGAACCTGAAGTTTGTAGAACTCGTTCTCGTCGTGGTTCAGCCAGTCTGGAGAGGCGATCTCCAGGTGCATCTGCAGGGTCCGGAACGACGGGCGGTTTCTTGGCTTCGGACTCCTGCGATGACGACGACGAAAATGATGATGATGATGAAGAAAATGATGATGATGATGAAGAAAATGATGATGATGATGAAGAAAATGATGATGATGATGAAGAAAATGATGATGATGATGAAGAAAATGATGATGATGATGTTGTCGACAACAACAACGATAATAACAAATGAGGAGATGACGACGACAACGATAAATATCCACCCCTAGCTACATCTCACTCACCAGCATTGTCTCATGAGCAACTTGAGCCCCTCGGGGCACGTGGAGGGCACGGGAAGGTGCAAACAGTTGCTGCCCACACCCCAAATGATGGCAGACGAGTCGACATCTTTGTAGGGAATTTCGTGAGTCAGTAACTCCCATAGAACCACGCCAAACGACCTAAACATCATGATCGTTAATCATCTTATTGACACCGGTGAAAAGTGCAACTAAACGAACGAATCAACCGAGCCACCGACTAACCAAATGTCAACTTTCTCCGAGCAGGGTTCATTCCTGATGACCTCAGGCGCCATCCAGGCCACAGTTCCGGCGAATGACATCTTCGTGCTCTTATCCGTCCACTCGCGACTCGTGCCGAAGTCACTTATCTTGATCACGTCGTTTTTTGATATTAGGATGCTGCGAGGTGGGTGGAAAAAGGAGTTGATAGGAAACAAGAGAGAGAGAGAGAGAGAGAGAGAGAGAGAGAGAGAGAGAGAGAGAGAGAGAGAGAGAGAGAGAGAGAGAGAGAGAAAGAAAGAGAGAGAGAAAGATAAAAATTAACAGCCAGCAACAACAACAACAACCACAACACCCAACAAACTTTGGCGACTTCAAGTCTCTGTGTATAATTTTATGAGAGTGCAAGTAGCACATGCCATTGGTTATCTGCTTCGACCAGTCGACCAATAGGATTGGAGGTAGATCCTTGCCATCTCGCAAGACCTCGTACAGCTGGCCGTACGGGCAATACTCCATGACGATGCAGAAGCACGGGGATTGGATGCACACTCCCCTTTTGACAATATTATTAATAAATAAAAATAATTATAACTATAATTAAAAGAGTAATTATAAATAAATATAATTATTACAATAATTAAAGGAGTAATTATAAATAACAATAATTATTACTATAATTAAAAGAGTAATTATAAATAAAAATAATTATTACTAAAATTAAAAGAGTAATTATAAATACAACTCGAACAACTACGAACTTGAATGAAATGACGTTCGGATGGTTCAATTTCCTCAGATGTCTGATCTCCGTCTCCTTTATGTCTCGAACCTGCATCAAACAAAACTATTATTGCAACATCATCGTCGTCGTCATCATCATCATCGTCATCATCATCATCGTCATCATCGTCGTCGTCATCATCATCAGGATCCTCATCGTCGCCGTCGTCGTCATCATTATAACCTTCTTAATGGCCACAAGTTCGTGGTTCAACTTGCCAAGAAACACGGCGCCCTGAGCCCCGCTACCTAGCCAGAGAAGATCTGATATGTTCTCAAATGCTATATTCCAATCATCTGGATGGATGGATCGATGCGTGCGTGCATGAATGAATGAATGAATGGGTGGATGAACAGATGAATAAAAGGATGGATTGATCATTCGTTAAAACATTTAATTATACAATCAATCAATCAATCAATCAATCAATCAATCAATCAATCAATCAATTCATTAATTCATCCAATCTCTCGTCAATCAGACCTTTCTGACTGATTTCATTGGCAGCGGCCTTTCCGATTATGGTCAGTACGGGTCTGAAACAGCCAAAAAGCCCACTTAGGAAGCCCAAGCCACCGTGCTCCTGGTACGAAACATCCACTGAATTTGTGTCATTCTGCTGCTGCTGTTGAGAATGAGTAGAAGTAGCTACAGTAGAAAGGCTAGATAATCTTCGCTGTTTTGACGCTGCTGTCGTTGCTGCTGTCGCTGCTGCAGTTGATGTCGTCGCTGATGTAGTCAGGAGAGCGGCTGTCGTTGCCGATGTCGTTGATGATGTGGCTGGTGAGGCTGTAGCGATGAGTATGGCGTAGTTTGGTGGCGGTTGGGGCTTGCTGTCGGCGTCTAGCACGTCGCCCCCATCCATGCACAGCATGCTGTCGTTGGTTCAATCGATGGACGGTGAATTGGTAGATGGATGATGAAATGGTGGATGGATTCATGAAATAATTGACGAATTGACGAATGAACTGGTGAATGGATGGATGAATTGATGGATGAATTGTAAGAGTGATGAGTGATAGAGAAGGTACGAAAAAATTACACTTCCACTAAGTTTGAAACATAATATACCACATGAAGTTTATAATATAATTTTACCTAATTTAATAATAATAGTTATAATAATAGTATATAAATATATATATACATAGGGAGAGAGAAAGATAGAGTGAAAAATAGTAAGGATGAATGAGTAAAAATGGAACAAAGCCAACGAAATAATCCAAGTCCCATAAAACATAAATAAGCCAAGAAATAACTCAATGCCCACAAACAAACACATACACTCACGCACGCACACACACACGATACATCAGTATGAGAGAGAGAGAACATTTCTGTATTTCGGTTTTGAGGAACAAACCACAACCAATCAAAAATAAAAACATATAAAAACCCAGTAAAATGGTCATAAAAATAACAACAACAAAAACAACAATAATAATAATGACGATATTAATAATAATAAATAATAATAATAAATAATAATTATAATATTGATGAGAAGAGAATGAGATCAGTTGAACATTACCACATATTTTTTATTTATTATAATCGTTGTTGTTGTTTCTTTTAATCAGTTAAGTGAGCTAAAATAAATTATTATTAATATTTAATAACTAGAATAATAATATTATTATCAATATTTAATAATTAAAAATATTATTATCAATAATTTTAAGGTGATACGTCGTTACGGTTAATTTTTTTTCATCATAACAAATAACAAGGAGTGCTCTTTGGAGAAGGATAACAAATTGCAAAATTTCATAAACTACTGACGACTTGATAAATAAATTTTTTTTCAAATTCCCTTGAAAAGATAAGCAATAAGGGATCGCTAATGCGTTGAAGGGACAATTTACTCAAGTTTTTTCAATAGCGCTTTCTGTGGTTTTCTGATAATGTGATGATATCCAACCATAAGACGAGCAATTACTTTCGTATTTACGTGTGTTTATTTGACAAAATCTGATGCAGAGGGAGAAGAAATCAACTAAAAAATACAACTGAACATACGGACGAATGTACGAAATGTGTACACATTGTTCTAACAATTTCAACCACCCTCAATACCAACCTACTATCAAATGAGGATTGTTGGTTATCATCATCACTGTTGTTGATGTCTGTGCTAGTGTTGTTGTTGTTATTATTGTTGTTGTTGTTATTGTTGTTGTTCAGTTGGCATGGGTCTCCTGTCATAACAGCAAACATAATCTTGTCTCTAGTCAGTCAGTCAGTAACTTAGGGTTGGTTCAATTTTTAACAGATGATGGCGATAACGACGACGACGATGATGAGACGAACGATGATAATAATGTTGTTGATGATGATGACGTCATTATGCTTTATTTTCCCGCTTTTTTTGTCTTCCGACTAAAAATCATTTCTGAAGAAAAAGTGACAAAATTTAAAATGTCAGGGTGGAAGTTTGTTTCATTAATGTATTTAAAAATCAAAACAGGTGATTAGAAAGAATGATGATGACGATGATGGAGATGACAATGATGATGACGATGGAGATGACAATAATGAAGATGACGACGATGATGATGACTACGGTGACGGCAATGAAGGTATTGAAAAACATCTGCCTGAGACAAACTAATTAAACCAACTTGAGTAAATTTCTAAATTTAGAATAAAAATAATCCGTTTTATTGTTTCTATTTTTAGTTTTTTTGGTATGTATTCTGTTTTAGAATTTCCGAGTAAAGATAGAGAGAAAGAAAATGAGAGAAAGAGAGAGAAAAAGAAAGAGAGAGAGATGAGAGAGAGAGATGAGAGAGAGAATAGAGAAAGTGTGGACTGTACGGTCAACAATCTATTTTTGGTAGACACAGAAATAGAAGTCAGTTGTTTGGTTGGCAGCCAGCTAAACACACACACATACACACACACACAAACACAAACACACACACCACACACACACACAAACAAACATACATACATACATACATACATATATATATATATATATATATATACATACATGAACTCAGAAAAAAAACTGTTTATGGTGTACAATAAATACATATATACAAAAAATACCCATAGAATTGGGAACACAAACAAAAAAAACACACACATATAGATTGTTTATTTGATTACAATATTCTGGATAAAGCTATGAATAGCTAAGTTTTTTATGAAACCAAAGTTTGAGTGAGAAATCAACCCATTTATGTTTAGAAACAAAAATATATATATTCAAAAAAAAATATATAATCATGTATGTATGTATGTATGTATGTATGTATGTATGTATGTATGTATGTATGTATGTATGTATGTATGTATGTAATATATGAATATATATATATGTATAAAAATGTATGAATATTTAAATTTAGAAACATCAGCATGAGAGAGAGAGAGAGAGAGAGGAGGGAGAGAGGAAGCCACCATGCATCCAACTCCAAATATAGAACACTGCTGTGTGGTGTCATTTCTTTTTTCCATGTGAAGCTATGCTGCTTCTTTCATTCATAAATTTCTATTCCATCCATCTATCCATCCATTATTATACTCATCCATTTATAATCTCATTCATTCATTTTTTTAGCCTTTCATTTATTCATTTTTCCATCCATCAATCCATTTATCTTTTCATTCATTCACTCCTTTTTTTTTATCCAACCAGTCATTTGTTCAATGCAGTCATCCTCATCTGCCCATCAATTCTTTTATTCATTCATTTATCTGGCCATCAATTCACCAATCAGTTTAATTCATTCAGTCATTCATTAAATCATGCAAAAATGAATTGATTCAAAAAAAATTCAATGAAGAATAACAAATGAAATCATATCAAATTTTCCATTAAATTAAATGAAATCAGATAAGTCATTTATAACTCTTTCATTATGCAACATATTTATATTATATTATATATCATATGCCCCATGCAATGTAGAGATTGGTCAGAAAAGTGATTTTCCAGATAAAAGTTAGAGCCTGGTGATAAAAATAACGGTCAATAATGGTTAATAGTCTAAAATTTAATTTTAATAACTAGTTATTTTATTTTTACTTAGCGATTAAATTAGTTAGTAAGATCAAATGAAGCAGACAGATTCATTAGAAAGATATTTTAATTAATGTATTATAAAATTCTGAAAAAAACTTAAAAAACGAACAAAGACCAACTTCACTCACCAAATTATTTCCGAAAAATTTTGGGAAGAAATGGAAAAAATGGAAAAATTAATTATTAAAATATTAAATTAAAAAAAAGTAAAAAACAAATAACATAGATAGAGCGAAAAATAATCAACAATTAATGGCTAGTTCACGAAAAAAATGTATGAGATTTAAATTATTTAAAATAATTTTTGAAATTTCACTCTTAAAATAATTAAAATGAATTATTTCGACATTTTTTATCGGAAAATTATTCAAAATAAGCACAGATGTATATATGATGTATTCGATGGTGTTGTTATGTTGTGAATTTGGTTTTATTCAAAATAGAACGATATACTCTAAAAGTATGGAAAGATATTTTGATTTTATTCTTTTAAATTAAAAAATTGATATAAATTATAGCCAATTTTAAAAATGTTATAAAAATATTATTTATAGTTTATTGATTTAATGCATAAAAAATACAAAAAATTATGTAGACACGTGAAAATGATAAAAAATTTGACGTACTTTAGTTCAATTATTATTGTGTTTTTCGGTAAATTAATAGTTCTTTGTATTCAATGTTAATGTTTACTTTTTAAAATTTATTTCAGTTTTTAAATTTGTGTAAGATTTAGGCAGATTCTTCCCGGACTGGCCGTCAATTCATCCAATCGGATTTGTTTTTATTTAGAAAGGATTTATTCATACTCGTTTAGCTTATCTATGAAATGATTAATAATTTTACTACTAAGAACCACCATGGCAATTGCGAAATGGCTAGCAACATTCAAGGTTAATTTATTAATTTTATTTTATTCATTTATAATATGTTTTTATTTATTTTATTGCTTATAAAATAAAAATTATCATTTATTATTACAATTAAATTAAATGTTTTGAAAAGTCATTTAAAGTTTGAATTTGCAATACTGGTTTTATTACTTCAATTTTTAAAATCTTGAAGTGTATCCTCTTCTTAAGTGTCTTATTCTTATCTTATCATCTACAATAGAAAATTTAGCTTATATTTGAGATTTGATTTTTTATTGCTAGTCATTTAGGTTAGATTAGAAAAAATTTGCCATTAGTAGAGTTAGGCAATTAGTGATTGATGAACTAACTAAAAATTGATTTAATGGTAATCTTATAATGGCATTGATTTGATATTTATACTGCACAATCCTCTTTCTTAGGTGCATACATACATACATGCATACAATATTGTGTAATAGAATAGCAATAGGCTCATAATACATGTACATACATTTATTTTTTATGTATCATTAAAGAATGCAATCAGTGGTATATTTAGTTAGTATATCTGTAAAGTTAATATATATATTATATGTATTTTACCTGTATATGTCTTGTTGCATTACCAAGTATTTCACAAACTTCTTATAGATGTGCACTACGGAAAAATTATTAGATTTTGCGGAAGATATAAAGAAAGATCACACGTTGAAAAAAGAGATTTTCTTTTTTATAGAAAATAAAAATAAGTCAGAGGTTAGTTTAAAGATATATTATTTTTATTTTTTTAATTTATTTTAATATTAAACCCGACACTAATTTCCCTGACCAGGAATTGGACCCAGTGGTTCACCAGCTTTTCAACTTTTACAGACTTGACAATGATCAACTTAAGAAGTTTTCTTTAGAGTTCATTCCAGCAATGCTCCTGAAGTATTATTCTGCCATTAATGGACAACAAGTGCTTTACATTCATTCATTCATTCATTCATTCATTCATTCATTCATTCATTCATTCATTCATTTATTTATTCATTCATTTATTTATTAATTATTTATATTATATATATATATATATTTTATTATGACCATGTGTAAGAATGAATTTACACACATAGGTTGTTATTTCTAGTTTAGAAGCATTCCTCCTTGGGATGTATAACTTAGTGAGTCTCATTTTTATCATCATTTTTTATCATTTATTATAACTATAATAATTATTATCATTCGTTATTATTATTAATTATGGTTAAATATTTAATAATTAATTTCAACTTTTTAGGACTCCACAAGACTTAAACTGAACTGCCAGACAGACTTCTTACTACAGCCCAACTCGGCACTGATTTTCAATACAACCTCATCAATCTACCATGACGTTAGTTTAGTTGCTCACGTAATTATAGTCATAATTATCACAATTATAGTCATAATTATCACAATTATAGTCATAATTATCACAATTATAGTCATAATTGTCACAATTATAGTCATAATTATCACAATTATAGTCATAATTATCGTAATTATGATCATAATAATTTCCAGATTCCCATGGGGGTAACAACATCCATGCTAACCAGAAGTGCCCTGGACAGATGGCACGTCCACAATAGTCACCAGTCCAAAATCAAAAATGTGACCTATTTAAAAGCTACAGACAGTGTTACTAATAAAAATAAGTTAGACGTCTGTCTGTCTGTCTGGATGAATGGATGAATAGACTGATGGATGGATGGTCGATTGGTTGATTTGTTTGATTGTCTGGTTGGCTGTCTGGTTGGTTTTGGTGTTGTTTTGTAGTTGTTTCGTTTTTATTAAACGTTCATTCATCTATCAATTTATCCATTCATTCATTTGTTTGTACGTTCGTTCGTTCGTTCATTCATTTATTTGTTCGTTCGTTCGTTCGTTCGTTCATCAATCAGTCAATCGACCCATCCCTCTTTGAATACATAGGCTTACAATAATGATACACGCTCTTCAGAGGTACAACGAGCACATTTCCGATTTCTCAGACCTATCACATCTAACCCTATGCAAGTTCTGTATGATGTTAGTGAAGATGGCGACGATGATGGGGATGATGATGAGGATGATGCTGATGGGGATGATGATGATGCTGATGGGGATGAGGATGATGATGGTGGTGGTGGTGATGAGGATGATGATGATGGGGATGATGATGATGATGGTGGTGGTGGTGATGATTGTGATGATGATGGTGGCGATGATGATGATGATGATGATGGTAGTAATGATAATGGTGAAGATGATGATGAATTTCTTAAATTTTTTTCCCTTTAAAAGGTTCACTAAGACAAAGAAGGACAATCCAAATGTTGAATCTCAAGCTGATAATAATATTATGCCCAAGTTGAAAAGCAATCATCATCATCATCATAATCCAACGTCTTCATCGTCATCACCACCACCTCCATCATCATCATCACCACCACCGTCATCATCATCATCATCATGGACTCCTGTTAATGACTGCTTCATCTCTGAACTGCTCAGATCTCTCTATTATATTATGTTTGATTTCTAGCTATTATAATTATTAATTATTAATAATAATAATTATTATTATTACTGCTATCATCATCATTGTCATCATCGTCGTCATCATTTTCGCTGACTAACTTTAAAAATGATGAAGAGAAAAATGATTATGTCGGCGTCAATGACAAATAAAATTAAATAATTAACCACCTACGTAATTGAATGAATGAACGAATCAATGAATGAATGAATGAATAAACGAACGAATGAATGAATAAACTATGTTAATGATGTAGGCACAACGGCCAATCAGAAGCGGGGCTCATGGCCGTCAGTTCCTTATACAAAAGGGCTCATTATGATTTGTTACCTGCCTCTATTATGGTCAGTGTGTGTGTTTGTCTGTCTGTGTGTTTGTCTGTGTGTGTGTTTGTTTTGAATGTGTGTATGATTTCGTTTTTTTTGAAACACAATCATTTCAGTCGATAGGAGCTCTGATGAGTTTCATATCCAATGCTCAAAACGATGAAGATGATGATAACAACGGCGACAACGCTGCTACTACGACAACAACAACTACAACGAGTCAGCTTAAAAAGTTGTTGCCACGGCATCTCCAACAACATGATGCACAGCAAAAGTTTTTGTCTCAGCAGCAGTCCCAGCAGCAGCAGCAGCAACTTACGAGGGAGGCCATTACGAATGCAACCTTCAGAACGCAGACCATGCCAGGTTGGAAGAGTTCTGCATATCACTGCCATTTGCCGGGCGTTGTGATTGTGTTGTTGCTAAAATGTCTGGTTCTTTTAGCTGAATGCGATTTCTGCATGTTTGTGTGTAGTTTCTGCATGCTTGTGTGTAGTTTTTGTATGTTTGTGTGTAGTTTTTGTACGCTTGTATGTATTTTTTGCATGTGTGTATTTTTAATTATTTTATTTGGCTTCTTTTTATTAAACTTTGCGTTTCTTTTCTTCACCATTTTAGTTTTATGGTATGAAATATCGTCTTGTTGATTTTATGTTATCATTATCATCATCCCTACCTACCAATACAGCCATCACCGTTATCATTATCATCACCATTATCATCACACACACAGAGAGAGACACACACATACACACGCAGCTTCACAGGCAGCAACCACAACAAACACAAAACATGTAGCAACAGCAGCTGTAACAGCAGACAAGAAAAAGTAACATGGCTATGTTTATTTCTGTTAAAATATCATGGCTGGGATTGTTTTTGGTTCAGTTCTAGTTAGCTTTGTTTAGTTTGTTTAATAATATTTTGTTCCTCGGCATTGGATATTTAAGAAGTGTGTGTGAATACGCATGTTAGCCAACTGAGTTAATGCTACTTGTTATTAATGTTAATATTATTTTCATCGTAGCAGTAGTTATAATTAATAAATTAATGTTAATTAATATTCCAACACCGTTTCAATTGATCACTCTTCCGCAGAGGACATAGAGGTTAAAGGTACGACATCGTTGTCGTTAAGCCCGGCCGCGACTATTTCCGGTCACGTGCCGGCCGCCGGAAGTGGCGATGACGTCACCAGTCCCCATCAACAGCAGCAGCTGTCACTGCAGTTCAGCTTGATAGCTAATAAAGTGAGGCAGAAGTCGATGATCGCCAAGGTGTTCCACAAGAAGAAAGATGATAGTAACTGCAGTAACAGTAGTTGTAATACCTTAGTGAAGAGGAACACGATGACCTCCGATGACCTCATCCAATTTTTGGACACTGGCCAGTATTCACAGCTAGAACAGCAGCTGCAACCACCATTGCAGCAGCAGCAACAACATGGGTTAGGTGCGCTATCTTCAGCTAAGAAGACGATAATTAACGCGTTTAAAAGTGAATTTATGTCTCAGTCGCCCTCCGCGTCTCCGGCCACTACACCAGCAGCTCAAAATTTTCATTCAAGCGATGCCTCGAGAGCGAGCAAGAGCAGCAGCAGACGAGCGATGGCGAGGAAGAACACAATATCGATAGCTCCTTACTTCGCTGATGAGGACGTGGTCGACCTCGATCGCTACGAGATCCGAACCACTGAGAGGTTGTATGCAATGACCAAACCACCTCCACCATCACAACAACCACAACAACCGCAACAGTTGACGAAACAACAACAGAAACTGCAGAACAAGCTTCAAAACAAAGACGCCAAATTGAAATCGAAGAATAAAAAAATAGCTCTAGCGGCGAAAAAAGGGCACAAGAAGCTGGCGTCACTTCTTCTGCCCTCCTCATCACCCTTGCTGACGTCATCGTCTACGTCACCAAGCAAACAGCAAACAGCTGGTCTTGTGAGGGATTACAACGCAAGGCTTTCATTAACATCGAGGAGAGTTGCTAATGGTAGGGCGAGAGTGGATCACATCGAAGAGGAGTACCTGAAGGGTTGTAATAATGACGATGATGACAACGAAGATGAGGAAGATGATGATGACGACGATGGCGATGATGACGACGACGATGCTGGACAGTCCAGCGATTACTTTGCTCTCAGTGGGGCGAGTATATTGAGTGGCAAGTTCTCGCAGATTCAGCAGCAGCTTCATCCGCAACAGCAGCAGCCAAAAAATTTGCGCTTTCTATTCCCGCTCAAAACTTCAAACGTCGACGACGTGAACGACAACGGCGACAACTCTTTCAGCCGCAATAGTACGAAACGAAACTCTCACCACTCACAAGCTCCGCCTACGTCTTCGTCCTTGACATTCACAGACGACATTCCGCGGCTTTCAGATGTAGCGAGGGTGAGGAAGGCTTCGAACACGCCACTCGATCGATATGCAGTCGTACCATTCGCCGCCACAACGACGTCAGCGACACTGACAACAACAACCACAACCACAACTTCTAAAAACAACAACAACACCAGCAACAAGATGTCACATTCTTTGGACAACCTGCAAAACCTTTGCTAATGTGCTGTATTAATTTTCATTTACGAATTTTCAATTTTTTCTAATACTATCAATCAAAAAAGATACTCATATATACATATAAACATACATACATACGTACACACGTGCATACATACATACACACAAATGTACGCGCACACACACATACACATTTTTGTATTTCTAAGCAGCTTTATAGCAGAATTTTTTAGTTTTCAGCTGTCCTATTTGTTACATTCTTCGCGTTTTTTTTCCGATTTCATTGTTAGTGTGGTAGATTTTAAATGTTATAATAAATAAATAAATAAACAAAAATAAATAGATAAATAATGACAATGATAATTATACATATTTATTCAGTATTTATTTAGAAAGAACAAAAAATTTTTTACCAGCAGCAATATGTTTGTATGTATTTGTAGGTATATATTTGTTCGAGACAACTGCATATATCTTCATTGTGTTATATATTTTATATTTATTTGTCTGTTTTCTGTTTGTTCGTTCGTTCGTTCATTTCTTTGTTCGTTCGTTTGTTTGTTTAATTTTATTTATTTATCTATTTGTTATTTAAGTTCAATTATTTTAATTATATTACCTGGTGAATCAAAAACCATTATATGTATGTGTATATGTATAGACATTATTTAATATTATTAATAATTTGTTATACCTTTGCATATGTAATCAAATTAAATTATTACACACACACACACAAGCAAACAAACAAACACACACACAAACAAACACACACTTACACATTTTTCATATTTTAATACAATAAAATCTACTTTTTCTATGGTGATTTTTATTGTATATAATAAATATCATTAAACTATTATGATATACTTGCATCCTTAAGTATGTGTGTGTGTGTGTGTAATTATTGTTTTTCATCGGTTAGATTTTGCAGTAGCCTATTAACCTAGTGCTAGTACTACAACTATTCATTCATTCATTCATTCATTTCTTTCTTCCTTTCGTCCTTCCTAGTCATTTCGATAGTATTAAATTTTCACCAGTTTTGTTTGTTCCCTCTGTATGCCATTCAATCATCCGAGAGAGAGAGAGAGAGAGAAAGAGAGAGAAAGAGAGCGTTTGTTTAACTGCACTTGACATTTATACATACAATGCTTTCCGTCATTTTAACCGTATTACATTATAGCTAGTGATATTGTAGCGTAGGTATGTCGTTTTCAATTTAGAAAATTTTCAAATTTTTTAATTATATATATGTATATATACGTAATTATATATAATTATTTTTAATTATATATAAATATAATTATATATATATAAACATATATTTATATTTTAACGAAATAACATAACATAATATAAAATGAAAAATATGTATGTGTATTTGTATATTTTTATATGCAAATGTTTATACTTAATTAGTATATATGCTACTATATTTTGTATACATACACATATATTTATATGGAGTATTGTATGAATTCTACCGAATTGTTGGCATTGAACCAACAATCCGGTAGAATCCATACAACATATCCTTCCAACATATAGTTATTTATACATTATTTGTGTGTGTTGATTGTTTTACGTATAAAAATAATATCATTTAGTAGCATATATCTATTGCATAATCTTGAAGGGTTTTATTATTTAAGATTTGTATTGCCTAGCTAGGGCCAAATATATAATAATACCTAAATAAATACTAATACCTAAATAAATACGTAAATGAATGAGTGAATGAATGAATGAATGAACGATGGAATGCTTATATTTACTAAATCGATCAATACTATACAGTTATTTAGATGAATGGATGGATGGAAGGGATGAAAAATTATTGAATAAATGAATGAATGAATAGATGGATGGATGGAGTGATGTATATATCCATGGTAAATACATCATACAGTTGTTATTTAGAATAAATTAATATTAAAATGACGTCATTTTCTCAGCTAATAATTCCTTAGCGAGTTACTTCTAATATTTCAATAACTTTTACGTAAACATTAAGAATAATAATTATTTTCTTTAATTCAGAATTAAAATCCTTCTTAGTATTTTACAGAATCAGGAAAAATTGCGAGGCTAAATACAAAATTTTATATCCTGCTAAATCAAACAACGACCTGATTGTTAATCCGCTCGATGTTAGATTAAAATGGCGATCTGTTTGTCGATTTGAAACTTCATCGAAAGGTTTCCACGGCAATCAGGTGATATTTGTGAAAATTTATTCCCAAGTCGTAATTAAAAAGCTTTAAGAAGGCCCCAATTAATGCCTAATGGTAATGCATGCGAGAAAAATACCCAGGCTAGATGAGGGGTAAGTAAATTAGTAATAATTCGAATTTCTAATTATCTTTTCATTTTTTTTTTAAGTTCTGATTCTTAAATTCATAATTTTTTTTAAATTTTCGTTTGCGTGATTCGAAAAACAGTCTGAATCTGAGAGTTCTATTTTTGTTTGTAAAGTTTGAAATCTCTAATTCTCAATTTTTTTTATAATTTTATATTTGTATAATTAAAAATTAAATTAAGCTCAGTTTATCAAAAGTGATCATGTCAGTTTTATTTTATTTTCACATTTTCAGCTATCGAGAAACAGCCCAATCAGAAGTAAGTTATAATCGTTAAAAACTCATGTTTTAATTTTTTTTTATTTTAATTTTTATAATATATACATTTTAATAGTACAATTGCTGTCTAACAAAGCAAAGTTATTAACAATCTGCTATTGTTAACCAGACACTGAAACTGGACAAAAGTCTGACAATGAATAATAGCAGTGGCAGCAACAACAACAGCAGCTGTCGCTCATCCTCTAAGTACGTAGATCGGAAAATATCAAAGTATGAGAACGTTGACCACAAAAGAAGAAGCAACAGCCCCAGATCATTCTCGAACAAGCCTGGCCATTATGAGGCAGATAAGATGAAAGGTGAATTTTAACTTTTTATTTTCAACTATATTTAATATTTACTATAATTTACACTTGAATCAAAAGAAAATTTTTATTATTACACTTTATTTAGATCGTAAAACTCATAGTAAAGACGTGAAAAACAAGGATCGAAAGCACAAAGACCACAAATCTGAAGTATTTATGATCTAGTCAATCAATTAAATCTCTTCACTATAGTCACCTTTACTTTCTTATCTTAGGTAAAATGTTATTTTAGCATCCACAAACTGAAACTAATATTTTGTTTGATTAGGTGCATAGGCTGGCCGAGCGTGTTTGTGGGGATTGGTCGGAGCATGTTAGCAGATCAGGTAGTGCTATTTCCCTGTCTTTTTTTTATAATAGTTTCTAATTACTTTTGAAGCAATCATTTTTTTCTTCATAAAATCAATTATAGTTGATTATTAGCACAATTACAGCTTTGATCATAATAGTTATTAACATTCAAGCATACCATTTTTGTTACTACTTATACAAATTTTTTTACCTGAATTCACCAATTTTTCTGCAAATTTCTGCTAACCCTAACCCTACAAATTTCCTTAGTTTTTTTTTTTATAAATTTCACTTATTTTTGCAAAAATTTCTCTAATTTCTTAATATTCTCACTCTTTTTCTAAGTAATTTTTTAATTTTTTTTACCAAATTCACAAATTCCCTTTCCTACTTAACCAATTTTTCTCCATGGAAACAGGGAAGAGGTATTTTTATAACTGTAGGACTGAGGTTTCACAGTGGGAGAGGCCTGATACATGGTTTGAAGAGTAAGCTGTTCAACTATTTTAATGTTGTAGTTGTTGTTGTTGGCAACATGAATTGTTAATTCAACATTGTCATCATTATTATCACCAGTCATCATTTTATCTTTAGCGGTATAACCATCTTCAACATCACCCCCTTCATCATCATCTTAATTTATTCACCAGTGACAAAACCCCAATTCCATCCAGCAAGACCTCTGATGAGAAGTTGACAGCAACAACAACAACATCCTCTTCATCAGCAACAACAACAGAATCAAACAACAGAAACAGTTTGTAGCTTTTTTTATCAGTTTATAATTATTTTTCATCTCTACTTTTTACATTTTTCTTTTACAATATCAGTACCTGTAATCATGATGTAGCTGTGGTAGGATTTGTATCATTTAATTCTCATCTTTCCACCAAAAAAACTACTTCTCACAGAAAACAATGACAATAGCAGTGGTAACAGTAGATACGCTGCTACTGCAAACAAAACGTCGACCACCTCATCAGCCGCCAAAACGTCGTCGTCCTCGGCCAGACGCGACGTCAACAGAGACGACGTCAACAAATCTAAAAGTAAAAAATTTCCAACCAGGTCATCTGACTCCCACGACATGAACAACGACATCGATGATATCAATCACAATAACTGTCCTTCGTCAAAAGATCCGCTAACGTCTTCCTCCGCTACGAAAAGAGAAAGAAAATCATCGCCATCTTGCACCTCTCAGTCTCGATCGCCTATAGCCAGCAATCAGAGAAGCACAACATCAACTTACTACTCTCGCACTAACAACAACAACGACGACGACGATAACGACGAGGATGATATTAATAATACAAGTGGCAGGGAAGATGGTTCTAGAAGGAACGCTGCTGCTACTGCTGCTGCTGCTGACGTGAGTAGAGGAGTGGATGGGAATCGATATCATCATAGCCACCATCATGACGTTGCTACTGACAATCATTCATCGTCAAAGAAGAGCAACAGCAGTGGTAACAATGAGAGATCGAGAGAGACATACTTGGACACGAACATGCACGAAGATATGGATATATCACCTGAAAATTCCTTCCTGATAAACAACAACGACGACGATGCTAATGATAACATCAACCATGATAATGACAACACCGACAATAACATCGCTGACAGTAATTATAAGGCAGAATCAAAACGGGAGACTCTCACTTCGCCATTTTTTTCATCATCACCATTCAACAAAACTGACAACACTAACAACAGCAGCAGCAACTCAGCCAACAACAACAACAGCAACAATAGCAGATTAAACTCACCAAACTCCGGCACAAATGCTTCAACATCATCTTCCGTGGCATCCACAACAACATCTGCAACAACTCATCATGGCAGTCGAAATCAGCAGCAGCAAAATAAGCAACAATCCCTCCAGACAACACTCGATGGTCTCCAACAAGCAGTCCTCGGTCTCGTGCCTGACGGTGAGGCTTCTACATCTGCTGGCAGCAAATCAACTGTAGCCTCACAAGCAACCTTTGCCAACTGTGTTGCCCTCCTACCTGTTCTGCTGGCCCAACTGTCCAGTCAGCAACGTAGTGGCTCAGCTAACAACAACAGCTCTAATGATAATCAGCTGATCATTCAGCAAGGTTTGCTGCCTTTGTTTTGTTGGTTTTTTTTTGAAATTTTGTTTGCTGTTTGTCTGTTTTTTTTTGTATTATTCTATTGCTTTTCATGTTCTTTTTTTATAAATAATTGCAAATTATAGAATTGAAATTTGCATACAGCTATACCCCTACTGAAGAAGCTGCAGGATATTGTTGTGCACCAGCAACAGCAGCAGCAGCAACAACAGCAGAGGCAGTTGCAGCACATGTTGCTGCAGCTGTTGCAGATGCAGAAAGCCAACAATTCTGCATTGGCTGCTAATAGTGGGGGCAAGAATGCTGGTCTCAGCAGGGAGGAGCAGTTTGAATGTTTGTACTTTGACCTTTGTTTGTCTATCTGCTTGTTTGCTTGCTTGCTTGTTTGTTTGTTTG